TTCTGAGGAATCGCCCCCAGGGCTTCATGTATGCTAGGCAAGCACTCTATTACTAAGCCACATCCCCAGCCCTCAAAAGAGCTTTCTAGGATTGTACCCTTGTCCATGTTCCCAGGCAGAGAAAGTAATAATGGCTGAACTTGCTTTGTTTCCAAGTTGTGCCATCCAGAAAGTCTTCTGAGTGGGGCCAGGGAGATATCAACATCCTGAATGTAGTTATCATCTCATAGGCCAGAATGCCAGGGCCACTTCCCTTTGCTTACATGGGTATCTTTCTCCTTACCTGACCTCTGCCCTACCCACCTGTTTACCACCCTCCATGTAGGGAAATGATCGGCCCACAGCTCAGGCGGGCCGGAAGAGCTCATCATCCCAGGCTGGGCTGCTTTTGCCAAGTTCCTCCTCCTCCCCTTCCCACACACTTCCCTCCTTTCCACCCTACCTCTACCTAGACTCATAACTTTCCAACCCCAGTCTGGCTTGGCTTTCTTTCTCCTGACTTCAGCAAACAGGCAGGGAGGATCTGGCTGACTGCAGAGACCTATAGAGATAGGAAGGGAGCCAAGCGCTGGTGGCTCACGCCTGTAGTCCTTGCTACTCAGGATGTTGAGATCTGAGGATCATGGTTCAAAGCCAGCCCGGGCAGGAAAGTCTGTGGAACCTCTATCTCCAATAAACTACAAAAACAAAAACAAAAACAAAAAATGGAGCTGGAAGTGGTGCTGTGGCTCAAGCGGTAGAGCGCTAGCCTTGAGCTGAAGAGCTGAGGGACAGTGCCAGGCCCAGAGTTCAAGCTCCACAACTGACAAAAAACAAACAAACAAAAATGGAGCTGTGCCTCTAGTGGTAGAATGCTGGCTTTGAGCACAAAAGCTCAGGGACAGCGCCTAGACCCTGAGTTCAAGCTTCAGGACTGGCACAAAAGAAAGAAAGAAAGAAAGAGGAAAAGAAAAGAAAGGGAGTGGGGTATCACTGCACTAGAATGTACCCTGCTTGTCTTAACATCACAGCAAACTAGCCCCAAAGCTAAGCTCACAAACTAGGATCTGATGGAGACAGTAACAGCAGTAGAGCTGCCACTCCCCCTAGATTGAGGAATTTTTTTTTGTTTCCTAAACCCTACTGTGTACCAGCCAGGCATCCAAGAGTCATTGGATCTGAGGGTACAGATAGGAACCTGAAAACAGCCTTTCTAGCCCAGCATGGTAGCGCATGTTGTAATCAGCCACTCAGGGGGGAGGAGGTGCTGTGACCAGTCTCCCTCATCTCCCTTGACCTTGAAGGCAAAGGCCATGGGGCCATCTAACCCAATCTCTTGCTCCAAGCCTTTAAAGGCAAGGATTTCTCTGTTTAACAAATCTCCAAAAAAGGGATAATCTCCAGCCTTCACTATAGCAAAGGCCCTTGTGGTCAGTTCCTTCTGATGTCTAGCTTCAATTAATATTCCCTCATGTAAGCCTCATTTCTCCCTCTTGTCTGCACCTCAGTGGAAGCTAAGTCTCTGGATGACCAAAAACTCCTATATGGTTAACTCAGAGTCCAGACTGTAGCCCATCCCAGCCCACCCCAAGGAGAGAAGTAAATGCCCATGAGGAATCCAAGAAGGGGCTCTTGGCAGGAGAGGCCCTTTGCAGAGAGAAGATGTGCATGCATAAGACAATGTCTAAAACAGCCAGGCCACCTCTTCCTCTTATCCTCCTTAAGGCCTCTGGTCCTCTGTTTCTGTCCTTTCTTTCTTTCTTTTCTTTTTGTGGGGAGGGGGCAGGCAGGGAGTTGGCTGTGGGGCTTGAATTCTGGGGTTGGGTGCTATCTCTGCGCTCTTAATATCAAGGTGAGTGCTCTATCACTTGAGCCACAGCACCACTTCTGGCTTTCTAGTGATTCATTGGAGATAAGAGTCTCACAGACTTTCCTGCCCGGGCTGGCTTGAACCGAGATCCTCAGATCTCAGTCTTCTGAGTAGCTAGGATTACAGGCGTGAGCCACGGGTGCCCGGCTATCCTGTTTCTGTTCCTTAAATGAACATAACACAGCTGGGTGAAGCTGGGGGTCCTCTTCATCAAAGACAGGCTAAGATTGGAACTATAGACAACACACACACACACACACACACACACACACACACACACACACTTCTTATCAGCCTCATGATTTTGTTTTGTTTTGTTTTCTCATGGGGTTTTAAGAGATGGCCCCTTGGTACCTTTAATCACTCAGAGGCTTTTCTATGGCATTACAGCAGTGACAAAGAGATCAACAGACACTAACTGGAAGTTCTTCCAGGGTATAGACATTCATAAAAAGCAATTTAAAAAAGGGATCTAGACAGCTGGACATGGTAGCTCATGAGATCTGAGAACTGTTCATTAGAAACCAGCCTTGGGCTGGGCTGGGAAGGTGGCTCAGTGGTAGAGCGCTTGCCTTGCATGCATGAAGCCCTGGGTTCGATTCCTCAGCACCACATACACAGAAAAAGCCGGAAGTGGCGCTGTGGCTCCAGTGGTAGAGCGCTAGCCTTGAGCTGAAGAGCTGAGGGACAGCGCCCAGGCCCAGAGTTCAGGCCCCATGACCAGCAAAAAAAAAAAAAGAAAGAAACCATCCTTGGGAAGGAAAGTCCATGAGACTCATCTTCAATTAACTACCAAATAGCTGGAAATGGAGCTGTGGCTTAAGTGGTAGAATCACAGCCTTGAGTGAAAAAAAGCCTAAGGGTTAGTGCCCAGGCCCTGAGTTCAAGCCCCAATACTAGCACTAGGAAAAAAATCAAGCCAGGTGCCAGTGGCTCAAGCCTGTAATCCTAGCTACTCAAGAGGCTGAGATCTGAGGATCACGGTTCAAAGCCAGCTTGGGTAGGAAAGTCCTTGAGACTCTTATCTCCAATTATCCACCAGAAAACTGGAAGTGGCGCTGTGGCTCAAAGTGGTAGAGTGCTAGTCTTGGGTAAAAGAACTCAGGGACAGACCCTGAGTTCAAGACTTAGGACTGACAAAGAAAAAAAAAAGTCTCTTTTGGGGGAGGGTTTCTTTTTCTAAACAACCATTTTCCTCCCCCAATATCCTCCCCCTCCCAGCTGTTTATACTCATCCCTCTGTGAGCTTTCCCTGAGGGCTGGATTGTTTTTAGTTCCAATGTCACCAAGGCCTAAATCTGAGGCTAGTGTACAGATGGTGTTCAATACTTGTCCTGTGCTGAATAAGTGAATGCCTATATTCTTGGTACACTGTGCAGCTCCGGCATCATTCATTTGATCAACTATAGAAGGTCTTCTGAGCTGCCTCCTGGGAGTTTTCTGATATCTAAGCCAGGCTCTTTCTCCAGGGAGGAGCTTACTGTCCCATTTCTGGTATGCTAGTGTTCGGTTTCCTGGAGATCTGCTGACTGATTTTTTTCCCCCCAAACTCACCAAAGCTTCTTTACACCAACATTAATACTTGGACCAAACCACTGTCCTCCTGTCTCTCCCTGGATTGTTGTTTAACTCTTATACTTTGTCACTGCTTTGACGTGTGTGTGTGTGTGTGTGTGTGTGTGTGTGTGTGTAGGGGGGGTGCATTTGTGTGTACACTAGTATTGGGGCTTGAATTCAAGGCCTCTAGCTTTCAGTTGAATTTTCAGCTCAAGACTAGCACTCTACCACTTAAGTCACACCTCCACTTCTGGCTTTTTGTAGTAATTGGAAATAAGAGTCTCACAGGGGTTCCTGCCTGGCCTGGCTTTGAACAGTGACCCTCAGATCTCAGCCTGTTGAGTAGCTAGCCATTCAGGCATGAGCCACCAAGCAGCCAGCTTGTTTTGACATTTGATGTTCAAATTCTCCCTGGAGGAACATAGGATTTGTTGGGATTCAAAATTTAGAATAAAGGTCTTTGAACCTTGGAGTGTGCCAGTTTCTAGCTTTGTGACCTCTTTGAACCTCAGTGTTTTTAATCTTTCAAATGAAGCTAAAATTTTCCTCCTAAAGCTTTTCAGAACTGTGAACTTAAACCCATGCTGTTGATTTCAATTCTAACATTCCATAGCTATTCAGGTACTTTCAAAAAGCTTAACTTTTCATGGAAAAAAATAAAAGGAAAAAAAATAGCTTATTCTTTTTTTTTTTTTTTTGCTGGGCTCCGGTGGCTCATGCCTGTAATCCTAGCTACTCAAAGGGCTGACATCTGAAGACCACGGTTTGAAGCCAGCCAGGGCAGCAAAGTCCTTGAGACCCTTATCTCCAACAAACTACGAACAAAACCACACACAAAACAAAACCAACCAGAAGTGGAGCTGTAGTTCAAGTGGTAGAGCAATAGTTTTGACCAAAAAAGCTCAGGGACAGTGCCCAGGCCTTTAGTTCAAGCCTCAGGACACACACGCACACACACACACACACACACACACACACACACACACACACGCACACACACGCGCGCGCGCGCACACACACCAACCCTGCACAAAGCTTATGAAATGCTTTACAAATATGCTATTACTACTTTGGGGCACAGATGAATAAGCCCAAAGCTTCACGCCTGACGCTGAGTTGGCTGGCCAGTGAAGGCGTCAGCCCTTTCCCACGGCGCCCCCTGACTCACCTGTTGGACAGGTAGAGGAGATGGGGGAGAGCAATAAGCCTTACCTGCTCAGAGCCAGGGTGGGGCAAGACACACCCCATCCCTTCCATTGGTTCTTTCCTTAGTCTTACTGACAGTCCCTCGTCCAATCAAGAGGTAGTAACTTTCTATCTGCCAATAGATGAAGAATGCATGGGACCTCAAGTTAGAGTCCATCCCCTAGCATCGACTGGCAGTCCCTGGGGCCAATGGCAAGCTCATAAACAGAGGTGGCGGTGTTAGAGGACTGGCAGCGAGGCTCCGCCCCCCGACGAGACAGTCAGAAGATACAGCCAATGACCTGGCACCAGCGGGTGGGCGTCTCCCTAGGAGGCGGAGCTTAACGGGGCTGGGGGGTGGGGTTGAGAGGTGTGGCTTGGCTGTCAGGTCCCTTCTCCTTTTGTTCGGTTACTGAGTTGCTGTCTTGGCCAGAGTCCGGAGCAGCCGCCGCCCGCGCGCGCCGAGCTCAGTCCTCTGCCAGCGCCGGCTCTCCCACCCGGCCCGATACCGACCCGGCCAGGCCAGGCTCTACACGCAGGTGCGGACGATCGGGAGACAGGTATCGCTAGGGAAAGCTTTAGAAGGGAGAAGCCAGCGGATCGGAGAGGCCGGTCCCAGAGCCGTGTCCGGGCAGGTGAGGGCGGGTGACCCGGCGCGCCACGCCACACCGGCGGCAGGGG